CAGCTCTCGCCAAGTGAAATGAGCCAAATGATAGAAAAGCAATACATGTGTTTAGAAGACAAATGATTTTTCCTGGTTATAAGCTTCTAAGCATTATGTAAATGATAATGATAACAGCATAAACTCGACCAAAAATATCATCTGAGATCTCTGAAGAACATTAACTTACCCAGAGGAAGATGCGTCAGTTGATTGCTGATCAAACAAAGAAGAGCTAGACGATGGTATCTTGTCCGGAAAAGTTGCATTGCTTGTCAACACTGCAATCACAATCCAAAAGGAGTCATGCCTGTCAAAGTAGGACATCATGAAAAAAAATAACTGAAATCTCTAAACCAGCCTTACATTGGAACTCTCTTAATACTCGCTCATAAATAGCAACTCTTTGAAGCTTTATTTCACTAATGAAATGAGACACAAACCCGCCACAATTCCAATGCCTTGTTACTTTAGGTACTCACAAGTTACTTTCGACTAGAAAAGCTTATTAATCTAGAATAGTAAATTGTACTGCTATGTAACCAGTTACCTCAAAAGCTTAAGCTGTCCAGGAATAGGCTTAAAATGTATATCAAGTTCCAACACTTGCATGTTGAGACTCTATTTGGGATCTTATTATGCCTCACTGCAGGTAACAGGAACCACTCTTTATCCTTGGCAGTGAGCAAAACAAACTCTGAATACCCCGTAAATTGGTAAGGTGAGTGTTCACTATACTGTCTTTAGCCCGGGATCACCCTGAATTAGTTTTAACTTTTCTTTAGACTTCAGAGTTCATAATGCTCGAGTATTAAGCCAGGGTATTCCCATCTCAATTGAATCAGAACTGATCCATACATATAGTTGGGATCACCCCAAGTAAATTGTCAATCTTTGCAAGAAAAATACATGTACTTCCCTGCCATTACAGAATGAACAAGAGGTTGCAATGCCAGATACTTGCAACCAACTTGCACTTAAAACTGTGTTCCAGGTAAATGGTGCTTTGTCAAGATAAATGTACAGCAGTTACTGCAATATAGACTCCAAGCATGGTTATCATGTCCAGACATCCATGCAAAGCACAAATACAATTATTCCAATACATCATACCCACACATTCTTCACGACAACTTCAGAATGTAATGTTTGCATACCGTGTATGTGACATGGATTTTGAGCTTTTGCACAGCAACGAAGGGACAAAGATACCATTTCCATGCACAGTAAATCCAGCTCATCAATTAGTCTTGAAGGGACAAAGATACCATTTCCATGCACAGTAAATCCAGCTCATCAATTAGTCTTGAAGGGACAAAGATACCATTTCCATGCACAGTAAATCCAGCTCATCAATTAGTCTTGAAGGGACAAAGATACCATTTCCATGCACATGTCAGATATTCAAATACTCATGTACAAAAATTTAATGTTCAGGTGCAAAATGCATATATAGTAACTACATAATGAATTGATTTTTTTTAATTATTTAAAAATTAAAAAATAAATAAAACACAATCATAAACCATGGTCTTAACAATCCCCGATAAACAAGCAATTAATGGTGAAATTTGCATCATGACATTGTCTTCAATATCCAATCACCTGTTACCAAAAAGAAAAGAAGCCAGCATATCAGCCCAGACATGGAGCAGTTCCTAGGGTTCATACACTCAAAGAACTCTCCCAACACGGAGGGTTCATACTCAACTCCACAGTGGGTGTATGATACATTTCTCGAGTATTTGAGTAGAGATGCACCTTTCACATTTTCTTTCTTAGTCTCCTCAATTATTTCACCTTTCTAAGGCTAAAAATGCCCCCAATTTTGACTATTCTGTTATGTTCAACTTGTTGTATGCTGGAACTTCAATTTCTTAAGAAATCAAAACAACCATGGCATCTGCGAGCCTAACACTATTGTAGATATTTTTCCTTTACCAATAATAATAATAATATATATATATACATATCTACAAAGTATAAGCATTGAGAAGAAGGATAACATTTTCCTTGTATCACTTGCCTCAAGGAAGCCATATCCACCTATGGGTAATCTCACCTTTCCTTCCATGTGTTCACCCTCCCCTTCCCAAACTAAAGCACAGTACAGAGACGGGATTCTCAACCTTTTAAAATTCATGGAAAAGAGCAATACCAATATCACCAAAAGAAGATGACAGCCCCTACATTCCCACTAGATAAACAGCACAAAGATACAAAATTTCAATGATCTTTAGGGGGTGTTTGGGAAGTGGCTATTTTAGTTAACTTTTTTGCTTTTTATGAAAGACATGCAAAAAAATAGTAAGACTGATGTTATTTGGTGTTTTGACTTTTTGACTATTTTTAGCGAAAAAGCAACCACCCCAAACGGGCCTCAGTGATGGAAGGCTATCTATGTTCCCTTCCTTTTAGTTCTCTTTTTCATTTTTATTTTTACATGTGTCTTCCTTTGGTTGGTTGCAAGTCACACAAAGTAGTCTATGATATTATATGCCAAAAAAAAAAACTTGAGAACTTCATTTTATATACACACCAGTTCCATGTCATGTCATACCTCAACTTCTTTTTTTCTGATATGGGATCAATTTGCTTTACAAACAACACCAATGTTTCTGAATCTCAGATTATTTAGCTCCTGTACAAACTATTAGGCAAATCATAGTTTTCTGAACAAAAATTCATCCTTTTTTTGTTTTTTGTTCAAATCCCAATAATTGGGTAAGTCCATTACCTATCATGGTATTGTAAATTAGCTTCACATCCCTCAGATATGCAATAAACTTTGATTTGTTTAACTCATAGCTGTTTCAATACAATACCCAAAAACAACAAAAACAAAATCAAAACAGAAAATTCTATGAACATAAACGAATCCTCTTTACTCGAATCGACACTTAAACGAATCCTCAATGTACTATATAGTTGAGGCCTAGTTTAAATTTCAAATTTCAAATTCTGTAACTTCTTCAGTTTTTTTTCCCCACATATATTTTTTATTTTCATATCACCCATCAGGTGTGCACACATTCTAGTACACACACACACACACACACATATATATATATATGTATAGAGCTCAATATAGTGGATTAACCACAAGTATTCTGTACAAGATTGAACTTAAAGTCGAATCATCTATAAGTGAAATCAATTTGGAGGTTGAAGAAGAAGAGTATGAAGTGGGACAATGTTACCTAGGGCAAAGATGAGTGGTTAGAGGAGGAGCAATTGGCAAGCGAAGATGAAATAGAGTCCAAAGGTGCAGCTCAGCTCCAGGTTAGCTCAACTCAGCTCATGGGTGTTCATAATGTACCAATCACAAGTTGCATAAAATTGTCAAAGCTATTCCACAACACAAAAGAGAGAAGAAAAAGGGTCAGCTCAGCTCATCAGGATAAGTGGACCACCTCAGAAGGATATTATTACTATATTGAAGTCTGATACACAAGAAAATAATTAAAATGGTCAAAGTATCCAAAGGTGATGAAATTTAATAACAACATAAAAAATAAAATAAAAAATCACAGATATTGCAGCAGTCATACAATGAGGCATGGGGTCCTGGGGACTCATTTGATAATGAGACAGATCAAACTAGATGTGTCACATGATAATCAAAGGGAGAAAATTAGAAGTAACTATATCACACAACCTAAATCAGTGACATTAATTGAAATTCTAAAAGAAGCAGTATGAGATCCCAAGTCCAAGGAAAGATAATGAGTTCCTTGACTAAGTCAAAATCCCAGGGGATATGTCATTACACAACTTTTCTGACAACAAATATATGTTTTTGAATTCAAATGCATAGAGAAGCATTACCTCAATTCCACCAACAAATATAAAGAAACATACACACATACACACATAAAGATGAGTAGATACACACATACACATATAAAGATGAAGAACTACCAGGTCTTTGTTGTTCGAGATGATTTTTTCTTTTCATTTTTGTTCATTCATTAATGAGTAGATATTGGTTTTTAAAAAGATTACCTTAGAACAGCGAAGTCGCATCCTGATTTTCAGAAACTGATGCAGTACCCTGAAATTCAGATTGAATTAAAGAAAATGCAATGTAAACATTGAAATTATCACAGATACATGTTTATGAATGCCAAAGATACATGTTTTAAGGTTGTTCTACAGCAGCCAAAGTCTGATGCTGAGTGGCTATCAACACCAGCGTTGCACAAGAAATCTTGTACATGGAAAATTTATGTTACTAAATTTGTTATGCGAGCAACCCAGCAACCATTAAATGTAACCACTAATTTACGAAACCCTACCCTTACCCCTTAGAAAAAGAAATAACACAAAAACAGTACGAAAAAAACATACCTGTGATGTGCAGGGAAATGGAAAAAAATAAATAAAATAAACAATTTGAGCAGTAGAAAACCTTTAAGAGAACCATGATCGTTCAGCCTCTGCAATTGATGCTGGAGAATAGTAGAATCAAGATAGGAACGAACAGTTTTCATATATGTTCCATTAACAAGCAATAGGGGAACAGCTGCAGCTCTCCGTGCAACTGAAAATGCCATCGCCAAAGCAGGATCCTCTGAAAGTGTTAACCTACAAAGTTTACATCATTAATCTATAAAGCAAGTTCCAAGGGAAACTTCCCTTCTAACTAATCAGCAAGGATCAAAATTCCAACCCAGTGTCATGTCAGTATGCATGGAAACATTAATGTTTCAAAAAGACTATAGAAAGAAACGAAAAAAGGAACTTGGAAATAGATGGAAACATTCGGAAACCGTGACTAAAATCTATCCATACATATAAAAGCCCAATAATTGATTGATTGAAGATATTTAAGTCATGCTTAATAGATTTAGAAAAGTGAGAAAGACCAAAACTAGTGATGTTAGTACTTTTACCTTGTTAGTTCTTCTTCTTCTTCTTCTTCTTCTTTGAAAGGTAAACCTATATTTAATCAGAACAAGTATTTTAATTAATAAGATATTGTATTGTCAAAAAAGCTTTGATTAAATGATTGCTCACCTCTTGGGATGAAAATGCAGGAGATTGTTGTTGATGTGACATTGGCCGAACAGTGGGATGACTACTAAGTGAATCAGCAACCTATCATTCAATAAGAGGCTTAAGTTGTATAGTAGCTCTGGGCAATTTAAAGTAAAAACTAGTAAAAATAATGAAAATACCTGCTGTCTATATAATGGGTTCGAGGGTGCAAAAGTTGCTGCCTCCATGTGCTCCGTTAGCTCATTCATTTGAGTCTGCAATTTTGAATTCAATAATTAGCATCCAATACAGGGATTTCAACAATTAGAATTTCAATAATGAGTCTCTCATTTAAGGGTAATCAAATACAGGGATTTTACAAAGCTCAAGACTCATTCCTGGTTATTTGTGAATGAACACTTTCCCTTCACCTTCAGTGACACTCCCTAAACAATTATAGACACCAGCATAACAAAAAAATATGTATGTGGGGGGACCAGAAAAGCACTGTTTTCCACATTTTAGATAGCTCTCACCAAGTGAAATGAGCCAAACGATAGAAAAGCAATGCATGTGTTTAGAAGACAAACGATTTTTCCTGGTTATAAGCTTCTAAGCATTATGTAAATGATAACAATAACAGCATAAACTCGACCAAAAATATCATCTGAGATCTCTGAAGAACATTAACTTACCCAGAGGAAGATGCGTCAGTTGATTGCTGATCAAACAAAGAAGAGCTAGACGATGGTATCTTGTCTGGAAAAGTTGCATTGCTTGTCAACACTGCAATCACAATCCAAAAGGAGTCATGCCCGTTAAAGTAGGACATCATGAAAGCAAATAACTGAAATCTTTAAACCAGCCTTACATTGGAACTCTCTTAATACTCGCTCATAAATAGCAACTCTTTGAAGCTTTATTTCACTAATGAAATGAGACAGAAACCCTCCACGATTCCAATGCCTTGTTACTTTAGGTACTCACAAGTTACTTTTGACTAGAAAAGCTTATTAATCTACAACAGTAAATTGTACTGTTATGTAACCAATTACCTCAAAAGCTTAAGCTGTCCAGGAATGGGCTTAAAATGTATATCAAGCTCCAACATTTGCATGTTGAGACTCTATTTGGAAACTTATTATGCCTCACTGCAGGTAACCACTCTTTATCCTTGGCGGCAAGCAAAACAAACTCTGAATACCCGTAAATTGGTAAGGTGAGTGTTCACTATGAACACCCTGTCTTTAGCCCTGGATCACCCTGAATCAGTTTTCACTTTTCTTTAGACTTCAGAGTTCATAATGCTCGAGTATTAAGCCAGGATATTCCCATCTCAATTGAATCAGAACTGATCCATACATATAGTTGGGATCACCCCAAGTAAATTGTCAATCTTTGCAAGAAAAATATATGTACTTCCCTGCCATTACAGAATGAACAAGAGGTTGAGAAGAAGGATTGAGAAGAAGCATTGAGAAGAAGCATTGAGAAGAAGGATAACATTCCCACTAGATAAACATATCTACAAAGTATAAGCATTGAGAAGAAGGATAACATTTTCCTTGTATCACTTGCCTCAAGGAAGCCATATCCACCTATGGGTAATCTCACCTTTCCTTCCATGTGTTCACCCTCCCATTCCCAAACTAAAGCACAGCACAGAGACGGGATTCTCAACCTTTTAAAATTCATGGAAAAGAGCAATACCAATATCACCAAAAGAAGATGACAGCCCCAACATTCCCACTAGATAAACAGCACAAAGATACAAAATTTCAATGATCTTTAGGGGGTGTTTGGGAAATGGCTATTTTAGTTAAATTTTTTGCTTTTTATGAAAGACATGCAAAAAAATAGTAAGACTGATGTTATTGGGTGTTTTGACTTTTTGACTATTTTTAGCGAAAAAGCAACCACCCCAAACGGGCCTCAGTGATGGAAGGCTATCTATGTTCCCTGCTTTTTAGTTCTCTTTTTCATTTTTATTTTTACATCTGTCTTCCTTTGGTTGGTTTCAAGTCACACAAAGTAGTCTATGATATTATATGCCAAAAAAAAAACTTGAGAACTTCATTTTATATACACACTAGTTCCATGTCATGTCATACCTCAACTTCTTTTTTTCTGATATGGGATCAATTTGCTTTACAAACAACACCAATGTTTCTGAATCTCAGATTATTTAGCTCCTGTACAAACTATTAGGCAAATCATAGTTTTCTGAACAAAAATTCATCCTTTTTTTGTTTTTTGTTCAAATCCCAATAATTGGGTAAGTCCATTACCTATCATGGTATTGTAAATTAGCTTCACATCCCTCAGATATGCAATAAACTTTGATTTGTTTAACTCATAGCTGTTTCAATACAATACCGAAAAACAACAAAAACAAAATCAAAACAGAAAATTCTATGAACATAAACGAATCCTTTTTACTCGAATCGACACTTAAACGAATCCTCAATGTACTATATAGTTGAGGCCTAGTTTAAATTTCAAATTTCAAATTCTGTAACTTCTTCAGTTTTTTTTCCCCACATATATTTTTTATTTTCATATCACCCATCAAGTGTGCACACATTCTAGTACACACACACACACACACACACACACACACACACACACACATATATATATATATATGTATAGAGCTCAATATAGTGGATTAACCACAAGTATTCTGTACAAGATTGAACTTAAAGTCGAATCATCTATAAGTGAAATCAATTTGGAGGTTGAAGAAGAAGAGTACGAAGTGGGACAATGTTACCTAGGCCAAAGATGAGTGGTTGGAGGAGGAGCAATTGGCAAGCGAAGACGAAATAGAGTCCAAAGGTGCAGCTCAGCTCCAGGTTAGCTCAACTCAGCTCATGGGTGTTCATAATGTACCAATCACAAGTTGCATAAAATTGTCAAAACTATTCAACAACACAAAAGAGAGAAGAAAAAGGGTCAGCTCAGCTCATCAGGATAAGTGGACCACCTCAGAAGGATATTATTACTATATTGAAGTCTGATACACAAGAAAATAATTAAAATGGTCAAAGTATCCAAAGGTGATGAAATTTAATAACAACATAAAAAATAAAATAAAATAAATCCTAACCCAAAAACTGTCTTGAGAAGTCTAACCATATCCCCCAAAATCATAACTTTAAAAGCAAAAGAAGAAACCAAAAACCAAAAACATTGAAACCAATTCCAGTGAGTCAACAGTTGAATTCTATATTACTAATTACAGCAAAGGCAGACAGTAAGAAGATGCCCATGAAGAGCTCTACAAATATATGTTTTTGAATTCAAATGCATAGAGAAGCATTACCTCAATTCCACCAACAAATATAAAGAAACATACACACATACACATAAAGATGAGTAAATACACACATACACATATAAAGATGAAGAACTACCAGGTCTTTGTTGTTCGAGATGATTTTTTCTTTTCATTTTTGTTCATTCATTAATGAGTAGATATTGGTTTTTAAAAAGATTACCTTACAACAGCAAGGATCAAAATTCCAACCCAGTGTCATGTCAGTATGCATGGAAACATTAATGTTTCAAAAAGACTATAGAAAGAAACGAAAAAAGGAACTTGGAAATAGATGGAAACATTCGGAAACCGTGACTAAAATCTATCCATACATATAAAAGCCCAATAATTGATTGATTGAAGATATTTAAGTCGTGGGAATCAGCCTCTCCATCAGGAAAAAAATAGTAATAAAGTGGAGGGAAATCTATTTACCATCCCTCAGACCCAAATGTAAATAGGAGCTTTGTGCACTGGGTACGACCTTCTACCATTACATTCATAGATACAAAGGCAAAGGTGTAGAACCAAGGCATTTTGTAATTCAAGTTTATTCAGTAGAACCAAGGCACATCACCAAGAATAATACAATAAAATTAACGCATAAGATCTATTCCTGTGAACCTTTGTCGGAAAGAGGTACAGAGCACACACTAACAAATTCTGGGACAATACTTCTAGTACTGGCAGATTGTAGCAAAGAGATTTCCCACTGGATGTCATTGTTGCCACCATCTGCATCAGAATAGTCCAGCACTCAGCACAGCATTCCACATAAGATTTAAATAGAAGGTGGTTTTTATATCCACATCTAAGGTCCCCAGGCCAAGAGGTCTTCTTAGGCCAAAGAGGTCTGCAAAGTCAATGGTTATACAATGATTATACTAAAAACAAGTCATGCTTGAGTAGCCCACTACTTGGCCCGTTTCGTTTACAGTCCAAATTCAACCACGTCAATCATGCATACTCCACAATAACAACTAAATTAACTTGCAAGCCCATGAATGTTTCTAACCAAGCAATGACTAATCTCCTATTAGTTTGTCACTTATAGTACACAAGTCAAACTATTTCTCGGTAGCTTCACGTACATCGAAAACATAGCAGTTTGTCACGTGACTCACTTAAAGATGACTTGAGAAAATATACGGACGAAGACAAAAATACCTCAATAAAACATAAACAGATTGCACATAAAATAAGTCCCATGTTTGTTTAGTCTTAGAATTTGAAAATACCCTTCCTTTTTAACACCATAGTTATCAGAATTATATTGGCTATTAGCCTATATTAAGAACTAGTTCAACCAATCAATAGCAGTTTCCAGAGATTCACCAGTCGATTCATCCACTTATGAGATGCATGGCAAGAAAATTATTTTTAGCACAAATAAAAAAGTCAGTATCATACCTAGATATATTTTTTCATTCAGCTAACTTGCATCAACGTTGGAGGATGACTTCTTTTTTCTCTTATGCTTGGGCTTCACTGCATCTATTAAAGTCTTCTTTCCATTTGTTTGTCCTCCAGTTCCCACTTCCCCATCTGGAGAAGGAGCCGACTTAACATCCTCAGCAAGTTGGTCTGGTTCTGTTTCAGATGGCTTCTCATGTCTTGATTCTTCTAGCTTCTTATTGGATGTTAACGCTCCTGCACGTCACATTAAAGCAGGTTAATTTCTACCTCATCATTGTTTTGTTGAATGTAAAGTAAGTTTAAACGCAACACTAACATGCAGGAATGAACATAGATCCCAAAACTAAAAATGGAAGCTGTCACAGAAGGCATAAAAAAAACTTTTGAGAACAGCTAAACAAGAGTTTACTTTCTTCCCCAATTGACTTTCTACATACTGTATGCACATGCGGATAGAATATAGCAGATGTGATTATAAATAATTTATTGATTCACAAAGGGTACATAGTTACAGCAACAGAAAATACAGGTTCAATTGAAGAAAAGCTTGACTAGCTTTTTAATTTTTCAGATATCACAACCCAAAATTAGAATCAATGAGTTGACTAGTGTCAATATGGACAAAGACGTACAAGTAAGCAAGCCTGCTTACCATGAATGCCGAACAACGCATATTTATGTTGATTTACATAGGCAAGGTTGCATTCATTTGATGTTAATTCCTTCAATTTATGTTTAATTCTGTGGAAATCTCATTGTAAGGAATAACTTGGCAATCAACGTGGTGTTAAAGAGCTTTGGAGAGGCTTAGAAGCAAGGAAGAGATGAAATTAAGTTAATGCAGCACAATGGTGGAAGCTTCTAGAGAGTGCTATCGCGCCCATATCTAGCAGCCAAAAGAAAATTGTCCAGAAAGCATGCTATTGGAGAATGCTAGAGCACCCAATCTATCTATCACACTAGTCTACTAGGTGCACAGATGTATTGACAAGAATTAAGAAATAAATACAGGGGCATATAGGAGCAAGGATAAGAAGCAACTGCCACTTCTTCATTGGCAACCATTATTTTTTTAACCATACCACTTGAGATTATATAAAAAGGCAAAAAATAAATAACAATTTTGAAAGACCTGTGCAACATCAAGTGATCACATGCATTCTCAGCCAACAAGACAACTATTAAATCCAGGAATAAGAGGGAGGGTAGGAAAGAAGAACAGAGAGGGAGAGAGAGACAGAGAGGGAATGGGAGGAGACGAGTTAAACCAAATTACCCCAATCTGGGTTTGATTGATGCATCAACAGTGTGTGAAGTAGAAAATTACCCCAATCTGGAATTTTTTTTCTGAATTTCAATTCCCGCCCCACGTTTCAAATTTCCCTCCAAACTTTTGGCGACCAAACTCTCAAATTAGTCGCAAAAATAGGTTCTTTCGCCGACAAATTTTTTTAGTCGCCAAATCTCAATCAACGGCGATTAAAATATTAGTCGCTAAAAGTACTAATTTGGCGACTAATTTTTTTTGGTTGCTGAAAATAAGTTTTTCGCGACCAAATTTTTGGTCTCCAAAAAATATGTGACCTTCCGCGACCAAATTTGTAGTTGGTCAGCAAAAGTATACCACTTTCTGCGACCAACATATTTTTTGGTCGCCAAAATTAATGATCATTCGCGACTAATTAATATTTGGTCGCCAAACGTCATTTTTTTGCGACCAAAATTTTTTTAGTCGCTAAAAGTGGTCGCAAAATGTGTAAATTCTTGTAGTGAAGGTAGCAGCCCTGAACAGATTCATCAGCCGAAGTTTAGATAAATGTAAGCCATTTTTTCAGTTTTTAAAGATGGCCACAGAATTTTTGTGAACGGAAGAATATGAAGTCGCCTGTAGACGTCCCCGAACGCCCTGGGAGGATGAGTCCCGTTCTGTTCATATTGGGCTCACTACAGTTCGGACTCTCAAATTGTCACGGTTCTTAATCTGAACCAAAGAGTCCAAATCCGACAAATCGAAAACTGTAGGTGTCCTGGGGGTATCCGAGTACGCCCAATAGTTCAAACTCTCAATCTCCTGATCTAGTCTCACAAGTGCAATGTAAAACATAAATGAGAGTCTAAATTCGACAATTTGCATAGAAAATTCATTTTACTACAAAACCTTTGACAGAAATGGACTACATCACCAGATCTCAAAATCGCCACCTAATCTTTTAGGAAAACTAGGAAACCCATGACTCATGCAAAAGGCCACCGTATGTTATAACCATAGTGTCTCAACCTGAGAACTTAGGTATGAGGTAATAAAGTCATGAATTGAGCACCCCCAATCACCCAATCAAAGGATCAGCCTCTACTAAGTCATGACATGAGTTTTATATTAAATACATGCTCATGTTTCGGTTTTAATAATGCTAACATTGCTATCTGAGGAAAATTAAGTATAGATTATGTCACTTGTTCTGGTTATGTTGTTATTTCATGCATTTTGGAAAACCTTTTTGCACAACTCCCAATAAAAATGAGTTCAGAAGCATAAGAATCAACCACATTCGAACACAAGCAACACAACCTCCACCTACTAGCATTCATACAGATATTCCACTTAAGCACATAGCCACATGGTATAATGCCAAACATATTAAGTAACATATACATGTAGAATGCTAAAACTAAAAAAGTGCTAACCTAGTACTCTTTTGTGATAATTATGTCTTTTTGGCATGGAGTATATGCATGATCCTAGTTCATGTTAAGATGGCTAATGCAACACATGCAAGATGCAGCTACAATAGGCTCGGCTAATCTACAATGACATGTGAAATGCTACAACTAGCACGTATTCAATTTGGAATTGAAATACAAATGCAGTTAGAATGATGCGCCGAGCCCGGTGCATGCAAAACGAATGAATGAATTCACGCATGCATAGCATAAGATATGCTAATTTAAATATGCCCTAATACTAACCATTGAAAGCAGGTAAATAAAAGGGAGAAAGAAGTAGGGGTTGGAAGACCTGCACACACGCACCCACACTTATTACAAATTCGCCCTCGCTCGGAGGGACCAAAAGAATAATACAAATCAATTAACCTACAAGTTAATTAAATATTGCAGACCACTTAACTAGTTAAGGAAATTAACTAAGCTAAGAAAACAGTAAAGGCCTCGGGAAGAGGATCCAATGCGCGCGTGCTCGGGTTTGCTCAGAAATCCAACTCCATGCACAAGTTTGCCTCTGTTTTCCCTGCTCTGTTCCTCTGAAAATTGCACAAGTCCCAGGGAGCACTCTATGGACACTGTGGAACACCACCGGCTAAGACGGAACACCACCGGCCATGTCCGGATGGTTATTGACCATCTGTAAAGCCATCGGCCAACAATGGATGTCCGGTCGGCAGTATAGATGGCCGGCCGGCCAAAGCTTCCTGCAGAACCTGTTTTGACAGCAGCCGAGGGCAAAACATGGCATGGCAATGCATTTCAAGCAAATGTGTGCACCACCACATCCCTTATCATGTTTGTGACTCAAAGGGGTATGGTGCTCGATTCTCGGACCACCAATCGCGCATTTCAATGCGCGATGACCCAAAAGCCAAGTGTGCAACTTCAATATCAAATGAAATGCACACACAAAACACATCAAAGGCCCCAACCTCTATCATGCTTAATCAAGAGGCAAGGGACGCGTGCACAATGCAATGCAACCTAAGCATGTAAGCAAGGCTAATGCAACATGATTATGCAATGCATTTAATATGCAATGGGCACATAACCTAAACATGTAAACAAATATGGCATGCAACAACATGCGATGATGGACTTAAACTAACATGGATAGCTCGCAAACATGCCAAAATCAGTGGCCATAATGATGCAAGTGAGGCAACAAAATACATGGAATGCATGCACAATGCATTAACCAAGCTTAAGGCACAAAAATGCAACTCTACCAAAGCATGGCAAGGAGGAAATATGGCATACAATGTTGCATATTCCAGATCTGAAATGGCATGCCAAATGACTCCAAAATGACTCAAAAGCATG